TCCAATCAGCTCAAAATGACGAAATGCAATATCCCAGAATACCTTTCGTCCAAAACTTAAATGAGGCAGTGGCGGAGGAACGCAGAGTGGCGGAGTTTGAAATATTACTCTTTCTGGGTCACAAAATAAACTTTTAAGATATTTTCAGGTGAGAATGGTGCTGTGTAAACTTGAAATAGCTGCTCAATTTATCAAGACATCACATATTTGCAAAAGTGCTCTAACGTTTTCAGAGAGGCCTGATACCCACCACGATTTAATGTCAGATAATATGTTCACAGAACGGCCTTAACGTTTCGTGGATAAATACAACAAAATAAAAGCTCTACAAGTAAGACTTCAGTATTAAGAAAAACGTTCCAGTTATGAAGCTGAACTTTAATCTCAGCCAAACTGATTTATTCAGGAACAAATCCAACACTGAAATAAACCAAACATTAACATTTAGGAGTTATCTAAGTGACTCATATATCATGTTTAACCCAAGTAGCAAAAGACCACGGGGGGTTTGAAAACGATGTGCTGGAAGTCTGCGCCTTAACCACCCGATCAGCCAGGGCTGGACTGGGACAAAAAACCGGCCGACTACACCACCAGGTATTATAGAAAAAAAAACAAAGCCTTTGAACGAAAACAAACACTGTTGTGACAGTGATGTACACTGTCTTGTTGGTATATATGTATCATTTGTATACAGTGTATCACCTTCATGTTTCTCTCTCACCAGATATTCAAACCGATATCATGACCAGCAGCTTTTACGGCTGTGGCTCCAGCAAACATCAGCTGATACTAGAAAGTAATATTAAATAAATTCTAACAACAGCTTATCAAGTTTAAAGGCGCTTCTGCTGTTTAACGCGACCTCCGCTAGTTTCCTCTTTCTGGCGGAAAGTGGGCAATAAACAAACAAGAGAGACAGGATTTGTGGCAGAAAAGCCGATCAGTTGATCATTGATCAGTTTCATGATTGAAGTAGCAGCAGGAGAGGGAGGGGGGAGAGAACGAGAGAAGAAGAGGCAGCTGTGCAACAAAGACACAGAATAACTCATTCTAGCTGAAGTACGGGACAAATCGTGTTCCTCAATGCCGATGTAATGTCATTGGTCCAGCCCAGAGCTGATCACGACCAATTGGCCAATCCACCACTTTAATCCACCACTTTTTATTGTTTATACTGTTACAAAACCAAACAAAAAACATAAAAATGTAAAGTCACCATCGGCCACCGGGCAAATGCCTGGTATGCCCAATTG